CACTAGGCATCTTAAAGCATTTTAAGAACAATACTGATATTGCTCAGCTCTTTGCTGAAAGCATGTTCTTTATGCCAACATTTCCAGTATTAAGTACAGATAGTAATCTTCCCTCTTTGCATTACCAAGGAGTTCCTCTTCCTCTATCTTCTTCTGAAGGACAAGCAAAAGCTTGAGGTGTGCGTTTCAGAAGATAAACTGCAGCATGAAGACCCCCTATGTTCACCCAGACTGTATGCACCTTTCGCCATACATGTCCCATTCCAGATAATGCCTATGGACATACAAAAAGTGTAATAGCATTAGGCTGACAATATGCTTCCAAACCACCTGGGATCTTGGCTTCCACTTAAAAATAGGAGAATTGGGACCAGCAGATGGTGTAATGGTTATGTCACTGGACCCCCATGTAGTCGATCGCGGTTCAAGTCCCAGACCTGGTGGCTTAAACTAGCGCCGGGCACATGTGCGTGTTTGCCCAAGATCCGAGAGGAGAATGGAGAAGGGACTGTGGCGTGGCCATTCCCTAGTATGGCTATTCCCCTAGGGGATGATTTCTCACTTTCTGTCTCGGGTCAGTGCATGCAGCCTATAGCAAAAATCTCTCAAACACACATAAACAACCTATCTAAACTTATACCCCCAGGTCCACTTGAGATTTTAATGTTGAGACAGGCTGAGATATTGAACTAATGGCTAGCACACCTTGGTAAAGCATTTCTTGTCCTGAGTAAGTAGGACAGCTCGGCCTGTTCCAGGTCTACAGACGCGGCTCATCTCTTGTAGGCATGCTGGATAAAGGTTCCAGTTTCTCTTTTTGGAGCCCATCCTATATATATTTAAAAAAAAAAAATGTCCAGTCATCCTATATATATTTAAAAAAAAAAAAAATGTCCAGTAAGTCTAACTTCATTGCAAAAGAAAAATATCTACAAATATGTGAAATGGAAACAAAATTGTATGCATCCCAGTCATGTAAAATATTTTCCTTTTAAAAACAAGAGTTTTGCCATTATATATCAGTAAAATAATAGGACTTGCAAAAGTTCATTGGAAAAATAGAAGTAAAGTATGAATTTATTTTGATACAAAAAAAAGATTCTGGAATACATTCGTAGTTTTTTTGTACTATACATTTTCCATGAAGCACCTGTAGGCTACCAGAGTAAATTGCTTAGAATTTTAAATAAAGAACATTTTAGAGGGCCAGCCAGGTGGCATGCTAGTTAAGGGAGCTAGATCCCACATGGCTAAGTCGTCCTAATTTTTTTGCGTGAAGAAACATGTAATTCAATAGTAGCCACACAGGTCATTTAAAAATGAACCTCCTCTGATGGTCAGGATCAAGACATAGTTAATAACAGTCCTGAGTTCTCAGAAGGAACCAAATGGATGAATCTACCATACTAAAATTAAGTAAAAAACAGCTTTTCCAAGTCTGCTCAAAGAAATTTAAGATTTCTTTTCCTGACTCAGACTAAGCTCAAAGAAAATACAGATTTAGAAAACAAGTAGGTACTAGTAAAAACAAAGTAAAACTTACTCTGTAGAAAAGCCATTCCTACCTTTTTCCAAATGGCATGTCTGTTACAATAATATCCACAGAGCCAGTTCTCAATGGTAGATTGCAGATATCCCACTGAACAGCATCTATGGGCAAGCCCCAGGAGGGTTTGCTGTGGAGACAAAGGAAAAGAGTGCTTCAGTGTATGCTAAATTAGAAAATTTCTCTAAGATTCTCTTCTCTGAAAAGATGTTATAGCCACGTGTAAAACACTATCAGACTATCAGTAACTTAGTGTTAAAAGTAGCATGTAGAGAGAAAGTATAACTTTTACCCTTCTTTAATTTGACTCTTGGTCAATAAAGATGAGATGTTATTTGCTGCTCGATTCACAGCCAATGGATTATTATCACCAGCAATATGGTAACAGTTAGACCATTCTGTAGCACCCTGAAAGAAAATAGCATGTATTAAAACAAGTGGCAAGCTGCAAATAATGATTAAAAGGAAATTTATTTCAGTCAATCGTCAAGAAACAAGACAACTCAATCCAGTTTTTATTGTAAAACAGCAAAACATTGCATGGTGTCATTATTGCTATTTTCTTTGCTGTAAATGCCCTCCTGTTCTTTCTCTACTTGCTGAACCCATCTTTTAAGACCCAACTTGAATGTCACGCCTTCTGTGACTTGAACCACATCTCTAAGCTACCTGTCACCTCCCCCTCCAAAAGCACATTGTACATACCTGGCACTGCAGTTGTTCCGTTTTTTGTTATTTCTATACCTGTCTTCCTTTCAACTACTCTGGAACCTTCTTGAAAGCAGGTCTAATATTTTATTAAATTCTTCATCATGGGTTGTCTCCATGGCCTGGTGGTTAAGGCAGATGGATCCCACATGACTGACTGCAGTTCGAGTCCTGGTACCAGCAGCTTGAGAAACATGCCAAAAGGAGGGAGAAGGGACTGTGGTATGCTCAATCCCCATGGGGCGGTGTCTTCTCACTTCCTCACCCCATTTCTCTGGCAAGTGCATGTGCCCTCTAGCTTAAAAATAATCAGTTCATCTATAACTTTGCAGTGTCTGGCACACTGCAGAAGTTATTACTAAGCTTAAGTAAACATGGCTTACCCTTTTGTGGTTGCATAAATTTATATAATTTAACATATTTAATATATTTGAGAATTTCAAAGTCAAATGCAACTTCCTTTGTATGGAAGAACTATCCATGATAGCTACTGTACCTCTGAAAGCATTTTGTAATTTTAAATAAAAAACATGTCTGTAGAACATAAATACCAAGCTGTCACATGTCATCTGTGGACTGAGGTGACACACTATTCTGGGTGTGAACAAAAGGTTTCTGACATGAAAACAGAAAAATGTTCTGCCTTCTGTATAGGGATGAGTAATAAACACCCCTTCTGCTATAAACAGTAACACACCTCTCACCCATGAAAACAGAGCTTCATAGCTTTTTTTTTTTCCTGCCCAGACACGTGAGGGTGACGATACATTCTTGGCTATAATCCTACAATGACTTCAAACAAAAAGGGAGTTGGGGTACACCAGACTTTTGGATACAGATCTACAATGAGTCTTCAAAAGTTTGTGGAAAATGTACATTATTAAAAAAAAATACATGAATTTCAAAATCTTTTACACCAAACAGACTTAGGTTTTAATCCCATTTCCCACAAACTTTTGTTTTTAATTTGCTAGAGGATACATGTACTCACCAGAGAAACAGAAAGATCTGGGGGTAGGGTAGGGAGAAGTATAAGCACCTCCCAATGGGGCTTGGTCACACCGCAATGCCTCCTCCATTTCTCCACCCTGGTGGGATATTGGGAGAGCACACCCATCCACCTGGTGTGTTTTTCAAGGCCCCGGCAGTAGTACTACTAGTAGTAGTAGTGCTGTTGGCCACATAGGATCTGGCTCCCTTAACCATTAGGTTATGTAGCTAGCACTTCCACAAACTTTTTGAAATCCTCTTGTTGAAGGAATCTCCAAGCCTTTTCATCAATAGGCTTGATGAAAGCCTATCATGTGATCCCATATATATATATGTATGTATGTATATTAATTTATTTCAGAACACAAGCACACAAGTCCGGCGTGTTTTAAGTTTAAGTCTCAGACCTGGCGGCTTGAAAAGCATGTTGGGCGCATGGGTGTGCATGTACAAAATCACAAGAGATCCCTTATGTAAGTGGTTACATTCTTTTTTAAAAATTTTGAAGTCACTCAACCCTGGTGACTTCATTATACCTAATTTTCCCATTATGTTTACAACATTCTAAGTGTCTTACTTGCTTATATTGTTTTTAAAGAATTATTTAATTTAATGTATTCTTACGTTTTAATTTGGTATAGGGAACATGCACTCACTGCGAGAGTAAGAAAGCAAGCTGCCAGGTCTGAGACTCGAACTGAGATCAGCCATGTGAGAGTCCAGCCCCTTAACCACCACACCACCTGCTGGCCCCAGTACTTGCTTATCTTAATGCTACAGAAATGTTATTTACCTCTATTGGTATTGCCCCCGTTCCACACATTGGATCAACTATTATATCAGTAGGTTGAGGAGCACAGAGTCTGCAGAGAAGAAAACAACTTATGTGAAGAGAATCAAGAGCAGAGGCTTCCAAACTGACAACTTTTACAGCTATAAGATCAATGACTTTGAATACTAACGTGAAGTAATGCTACTCAATAGTCATTCTGAAAAATTTTAAATGCATTGGGACCAGCAGTTAGTGTAATGGCTATGTCGCTGGACTCCCACATAGTTGACCGCGGTTCGCGTCCCAGACCGGGTGGCTTAAAACTCATGCCGGGCACGTGTGTGTGCGTGCCCAAGATCCCAAGAGGAGAATGGAGGAAAAGGGATTGCGGCGTGGCCATCCCCCCGGGGGGTGATTTCTCGCTTTCTGTCTCTCTGTCTCTCTCTGTCTGGCGAGCGCACAAGCCCTATAGCAAAAACCTCTAAAAAAAATTAAAAATAAATTTAAAAAATTTTAAATGCATTAAGATGTATTCCAGCACTTGAAAAACTCACTACATATAAACTGAAAGTGCCCTTTGACCATCTTCTGAAATCCCATTTCACTTCCAGATAGAATTAAGCTTCTATAACTTTAAACACAAACATGTGCTTACACACATGCACACACGCACATACACCCACATACCCCCATATGCCTTTAGAAAACCGTCTTCTTTTTTTACATAAACCTGTATGGGTATGTTCAGAAAACTCAAAACATGTTTCAAGTAAAACATGTATCATTGGTAATTACACATTAAGTATTCTTTTCCTTTTAAATTTAATTTAAAATATGACTTCAGAATAAAAATAACTGCCTTACTTTGAGTATTCAGTGTTTGTGGGGTATGGACTCACAATGCATAACTCCCCAAGCATTATCTCACTGAATCCTCTTAACAACTCCTGTTAGGTAAGTTACTATTGTTATTCTTCATTTACAGACAAGCTGATGCAAAGCAAACATTAAGTTACTTCTCCAGGAACACAAAACCAGTAAGTGACTGAGTCAGGAATAGAAGCATTACTGTTGGTAGCTATAATGTACCTACTCTAAGAAGCATTCCACCCTAAGATCACCAGGTTTCTCCTTCCTTCTCTTGTCCTAATCTTTTCATGTTCTGTTACGGTATTATCATGTATATGGCAGTAATTATTTCTCTCAGGGACTACCACTGTACTTTTACTATAATACTTGTTCAGTTCTACCTATCTGTTCCTACCCCTCAATAGATGGCAACAGACTCCTTGGCAATTCTCTTGGGGTAGTACGCAGCCTTGTACTCGCAGCCATTGCAGATGAACACATGGATGAAACTATGTCAATTCCTCTCTTCTAGGAATTTGGGTTAAAGACCTAGAAGCCCTAGGTAGTACAGGTAGGTCATTTGAAATAGGAAAGATACACATTTAAATGAGGGGCAGCCCTGTACAGATGAGCAGAAACAAGATGAGCAGAAACAAGAGCCTAAAAGTAGCTACACCTAGGTGTCTGGTGGTTTTCAGAGATCTGATTCCTATTTTTCTTGACATGTAGCTTTCAGTTTTTCTATGGATTCCCCAAGATTTTTCCTTATTTTTCTAATACGCACTTTCCCCACCCCCGCAACTGACATAATCATTTCTGATTTATCCTAAACTAGCTTACTTGGGTTTCTAATACTTGCATCTGAAATAATGCCTGGCAGCAGATGATAAATATTTGTTAAATGAATGAATACTAGGAGCTCTTAATAAACTACTATCATTGATGAGTATGTTCGGACTGTTTTAAGCTCTGATTCTGTAGATGAGCAGGATTAATGAGGAAGCAAAGATTAGGAGAGAAGGAAATAGAATTATTGAACTATCAGGCTGTGCCACACACTGTCTAATAGTTATTTTGCATATGTTTCTGCATTTATCTTCATTATGAACCCTTTAATTCCCACATCAAACTAATTTTACAGTATGGAAAACAGAAGTTTAAAGAAGATAAACTTGTCCAAGTATTGGAAAGACACACCCAATAAAAGAGAAGGACAAAGAGAGGGAAAGCTATGTCTTCTACTCTGAAAAGTGGGAAATTCCAGGATGACTCCTAGATTGGAGAATAAAATTTAAAAGTATAAGCAAAAGCTCTGTGTTCATTTACATATTAGACACATTTTTAAAAACTCTGCTTTGTGCTCCACTGCTGACCAGAAAGGAAAAACTGCAAAATCTGCTCTATCTCCTAATACAGAATAAATTCTTTCTAAAGGATTTATCCTTTCTGGGTTTTCATAATAGTCCAAAATATGTGAGTCTAAAGCATTGTTAGTGGAATCTTTTTTAACATCCCTCTCATCTAGTTTGTCTCCTTGCCCATTTTCAGTCTTCCCTTTACTCAACTCCTTTTGAGGCAGATGAAAGCTCTCATTCTTACTGTAAAATTAAAACTGTGATACTGATTAAGTGCTTTTTTCCAGGATTACATAAGGAGTCAATATTAGATACATGGGACAAAAACAGTTCATTAGCTTTTTTCCCTGTTTTTATCCACTAACTTCTAACACAATAACTCATAAAATAAAATCAGTGTTTGATGGGAAAATTCAAACCCAGGTGCTGCTTTAACCTGGACAGCAAATCTACTCTCTTACCTGAGCATCCCATAGGCAAGAGTTGACCTGAGGGTTGTGGGTCCAAAATGTGTGATATTTCTTCGGTGGAGACTCTCTTCAGTCAAAGCAATTCCCACAATGACTTCATTATCGTGGATATTTAAAAGAACCTGTAATCAAGTTCAGATAAAAGAAAACAGTTTTAGGATTGTTCAAACTGCACTTGCTACTAAGACGACGACTTTTCTTTTCTTTTTTTCCAGAGGATGGATGTACTTGCCAGAAACAGAGGGAGAAAGCACCCCCTAATGCGGTACTGTCATGTTGCAATCCCTCTTCTCCATCGTGTCAAGATTTTGTGTTAAGCACATGGATCTGGCATGTTTTTCAAGCTGCTGAGTTTCAAACCTTGCAGTTGACTGTGTGGGATTTTATAGATGAGGAAATCTAATTATTTCCTTATTCCTGGTCATCTAGCTGAGATATCCAAAGTTACACACCTGTGAAGTCAAAACCTGGATCTACATCTGTCTCCATGCTCTTTATAACCAAGGCCTACCAGCTCCACAGCCTCAGTATAATGTCCGTATGATTGGGTTAGCCTGAAGACTACATCAGTCACAGCCAGTACCTACCTCTACATCAAAGTTGGTCATATCGGCCTTCCACTTAAAGTGATCTTGAACTGCACCCCCAAAATCTCTTGCAGCCTCATTTGAGGTAAAGCAGTGTTTCTCTCCTGCCCTATTGCATGTGACTCTGAATTTTATCACTTGAGGCTCTGTTTCTTCTTTTGTGTTTTCATCAGTCTCATCTTTACAGGATGCCAAATCATCGCCTACTAATGTTGACACCTCTTCTTTGATGGCTGGGTTTTCATAATAGTCCAAAATATGTGAGTCTAAAGCATTGTTAGTGGAATCTTTTTTAACATCCCTCTCATCTAGTTTGTCTCCTTGCCCATTTTCAGTCTTCCCTTTATTTGAATTCTGATTAATCTTTTTGCGCTTTGTTTTTCTTTTCTTGAAACTGGTATTAATTTTCCATACTTTTAGAGGGTCTGACCATGGAAGTTTTCCAGCCAAGTCTTCAAAATCCTTTAAAACTTCTTCCTGTAAAGGACAGAAAGAAGCCCATTCATTTCTCACCACTTTAACTAGTAAATAAACTCCTACTTTGCTTATATACTCATCATTACACTGCAGGTAAGGCAGGTACAGAAAAAGAGAATAAATAATGCCCTCAACTAAGGAAATTCAAATCTCACTGATAAGATATACACATTAAGCTACTGAAGACTAATGAAAGACAGAATGGTAGGTCAGAAGTAGGGCTTCAATGGGTCAGCAGGTGGCGAGACGGCTAAACACACTGGATCCTGCTTGGCCGACTATGGTTTGACCAGGACCCAGCAGCTTTCACACTGAGCACATGTGCGAGCATGCCCAAAATCCCAACAGGAAAATGGAGAAGAGATTATGACATGGCCACCTCCCCTGGGAGGTGATTGCTCACTTTACCTCTTTGTCTCTCCAGAGAACACACACACCCTATGGCAAAAATCTGAAGGAGAAAAAAAAAAATCTGGGCATGTATGCGCACAATCTCAAGAAGAGAAGGAATTGCAGTGTGGTCATTCCCACTGGGGGATGCTTTCTCACTTTTCCTCTCTCTCTCCATCTTGCTATGGCAAGCATAAGCACCCTTTAACAAATTAAAAACAAGACAAAAAACCTTAGTTAAAAAGTTTATCCATTTTCTAACTAACCAAGGAGCATCTTTTTTTATTTTTAGAGCCAGAGAGTACTTCCCTTTACTCAACTCCTTTTGAGGCAGATGAAAGCTCTCATTCTTACTGTAAAATTAAAACTGTGGTACTGATTAAGTGCTTTTTTCCAGGATTACATAAGGAGTCAATATTAGATACATGGGACAAAAACAGTTCATTAGCTTTTTTCCCTGTTTTTATCCACTAACTTCTAACACAATAACTCATAAAATAAAATCAGTGTTTGATGGGAAAATTCAAACCCAGGTGCTGCTTTAACCTGGACAGCAAATCTACTCTCTTACCTGAGCATCCCATAGGCAAGAGTTGACCTGAGGGTTGTGGGTCCAAAATGTGTGATATTTCTTCGGTGGAGACTCTCTTCAGTCAAAGCAATTCCCACAATGACTTCATTATCGTGGATATTTAAAAGAACCTGTAATCAAGTTCAGATAAAAGAAAACAGTTTTAGGATTGTTCAAACTGCACTTGCTACTAAGACGACGACTTTTCTTTTCTTTTTTTCCAGAGGATGGATGTACTTGCCAGAAACAGAGGGAGAAAGCACCCCCTAATGCGGTACTGTCATGTTGCAATCCCTCTTCTCCATCGTGTCAAGATTTTGTGTTAAGCACATGGATCTGGCATGTTTTTCAAGCTGCTGAGTTTCAAACCTTGCAGTTGACTGTGTGGGATTTTATAGATGAGGAAATCTAATTATTTCCTTATTCCTGGTCATCTAGCTGAGATATCCAAAGTTACACACCTGTGAAGTCAAAACCTGGATCTACATCTGTCTCCATGCTCTTTATAACCAAGGCCTACCAGCTCCACAGCCTCAGTATAATGTCCGTATGATTGGGTTAGCCTGAAGACTACATCAGTCACAGCCAGTACCTACCTCTACATCAAAGTTGGTCATATCGGCCTTCCACTTAAAGTGATCTTGAACTGCACCCCCAAAATCTCTTGCAGCCTCATTTGAGGTAAAGCAGTGTTTCTCTCCTGCCCTATTGCATGTGACTCTGAATTTTATCACTTGAGGCTCTGTTTCTTCTTTTGTGTTTTCATCAGTCTCATCTTTACAGGATGCCAAATCATCGCCTACTAATGTTGACACCTCTTCTTTGATGGCTGGGTTTTCATAATAGTCCAAAATATGTGAGTCTAAAGCATTGTTAGTGGAATCTTTTTTAACATCCCTCTCATCTAGTTTGTCTCCTTGCCCATTTTCAGTCTTCCCTTTATTTGAATTCTGATTAATCTTTTTGCGCTTTGTTTTTCTTTTCTTGAAACTGGTATTAATTTTCCATACTTTTAGAGGGTCTGACCATGGAAGTTTTCCAGCCAAGTCTTCAAAATCCTTTAAAACTTCTTCCTGTAAAGGACAGAAAGAAGCCCATTCATTTCTCACCACTTTAACTAGTAAATAAACTCCTACTTTGCTTATATACTCATCATTACACTGCAGGTAAGGCAGGTACAGAAAAAGAGAATAAATAATGCCCTCAACTAAGGAAATTCAAATCTCACTGATAAGATATACACATTAAGCTACTGAAGACTAATGAAAGACAGAATGGTAGGTCAGAAGTAGGGCTTCAATGGGTCAGCAGGTGGCGAGACGGCTAAACACACTGGATCCTGCTTGGCCGACTATGGTTTGACCAGGACCCAGCAGCTTTCACACTGAGCACATGTGCGAGCATGCCCAAAATCCCAACAGGAAAATGGAGAAGAGATTATGACATGGCCACCTCCCCTGGGAGGTGATTGCTCACTTTACCTCTTTGTCTCTCCAGAGAACACACACACCCTATGGCAAAAATCTGAAGGAGAAAAAAAAAAATCTGGGCATGTATGCGCACAATCTCAAGAAGAGAAGGAATTGCAGTGTGGTCATTCCCACTGGGGGATGCTTTCTCACTTTTCCTCTCTCTCTCCATCTTGCTATGGCAAGCATAAGCACCCTTTAACAAATTAAAAACAAGACAAAAAACCTTAGTTAAAAAGTTTATCCATTTTCTAACTAACCAAGGAGCATCTTTTTTTATTTTTAGAGCCAGAGAGTATTTGTGCTTGCCAGAGAGAGAGACAGAGAAAGCACACTCTAAAGGGGCATAATCATGCTACAATCTCTTCTCCATTTCTCCATCCTGCTGGAATTTGGGACATGTGGGAATACATGCCTAATACATCTTCCATGCCATCAGAGCCTAGATTTGAACTGGAGCTGGTCATATGGAATTTGGTTCTTTTAACTATTAGACACTGCTGGCCCAAGTGTCACCTCTTTAAGAAGTAAATTTAGTGATATGCCTCCCTTGCTTAAAGCTTAAAGCCTACAGTGGTACATGGCAAAAACTAAATTCCTTTAAAAGCCCAATATAATGAAACTCCTTCCTGTTTCTTTCTTTTTTTTTTTTTTAAAGAGAGGTATTTTATTGTAGGGCATGTGCGTTCAACGGACAGAGAAGAGAAACAGAAATGAGAAATCACCCCCTCCCAGGGGGGATGGCCATGCCATAATCCCTTCTCCTCCATTCTCCTCTCAGGATCTTGGATATGCAGGCACACACACCCAGCGTGAGTTTTAGGGTACTGGGTCTGGACTCAAACTATGGTCGATTACGTGGGAGTCCAGCAATATAACCATATGCCATCTCCTGGTCCCTTTTTAAATTTTTTTTCTGCCTGTTTCTCTTATGCCATTTCAGGACCATTCTCCCCCTCACTTCCTAGCTCTGTTTGTGAGGTATTTGTTTACTTCACAGGGTCTCTACACTGCTGGCTATTTTCTCATTACTTAGTAGAAATTTAAAAGGCATATCCTCTGAAAGGCCTACTCAAAATAGTCCTATCAAGTCATTGTTGATTTTCTTTTTTAAAAAAGAATTACTCATTTAATTTTATTTGCTATTATGTATTCTTCAATTTGACTGGAGAGAGACAGAGAAAGAGCAAGCCACCAGGTCTAAGACTTGAACTATGGCTGGCCCCAATTGTTTATTTTCTTTATGATGTTTAGTATTACCCAATGTTACTATGTTTAGGTATAGTTTACCATCAAGGCTCTTTCCAGAAGGTAACTGCAGGGTGGAAAGAACCTTATCTGCACTGACCACTGCGATAGTAACACTCTT